TTGCTAGTGCATCCCATGCCTAGCATCGAACATAGTCATGGTAGACCAAGTTAGCGTCATTTATCTAGCATCATTTATCTATCTACCAACTGAGCGACAACAACAAAAAGATGGGGAAGCTTACGTTTTTGTAGTGCATGCGGTGTTGAGTGTTCACCTTCTATGCTCACCGGTACTATGTGTAGGTGGTTTTTGAAGGAGTGATTCCAAGTTTACCTATAGCCTGGGTGTTCTAGATTTTTAACACCTCACCAACCACATGTATATTTTTAATGATGAGTACAATTGCTGCAAGAGCTATCAATCCTAGTGACATACTCCCTCCGTTCCTAAATATTTGTCCTTTTAGAGATTTCAAATGGACTACCACATACGGATGTATATAGACATATTTTAGAGTGTAGATTCAGTCATTTTGCTCTGTATGTAGTCACTTGTTGAAATCTCTAGAAAGACAAATATTTTGGTACGAATGGAGTGTTTGATTTAGATAATTAGAAAGTTGCATTTATGGGCAAGGTAGTGTTGTTTTTATTGCCTTCCAGTCATATGTCCAACTATTTAACCTTGGATGACTCCACCAAGATCCTGCTACTCTACCCTATTGTGTCGAAGAAGAATCGTCAGATCTGCCTCCTAGATCTATAACCTTGCACCACTCCATCCATCCTCCTTAGACGTGTGTCGCCATGGTGCAAAGCAACACTTCCTACCAACTCCAATACTTCCTTTAGGCTTCCCAAAGATGTTGGAGCAGATGTCGATGAGACGCGGTCAAGGCCAAAGGACAAAAACCCCATGGTGTTGTCACCACAACACCTATAACACCTAGGAACCATAGACCCACCTCACCAACAGACTAACTAAAGATGTCTCGTAGAGAACCTGCACCATTCGGGACAGAGCAATAACTGGGACAAATTTATTTTAAGCACCGCCGCTTCTATCGTCGTAATGCCGACATGAGACACACATGTCCTAACCTTATCTAAACAACCAATACGAAGGGATGGTGTACCCTCCTTCTGCCATTAGAATGAAAGAGGGATGGAGAGGGGACCCGGAACCTCGCAGTAGGAGGGGGGAGGAAACTGAGCGCCTCCCTTTTACAACTTTTTCCCGAGGAAAGATTGGGGGGAGAAGAGCATTTCACATTATCTATTCTTGGGCTCCAATCCTGCCGAGTTTCAATCTCGATTGTTCGTAATTCTTCCACTGCATGAAGACAAACCTTTTGTGACAACATATAAAACAATAGTTTCACATTAAGAGTTGAATCAAATATGTGATGGAGGATACAAAGGATTTGCTGGTAAACTTACTTTGCACATTACTATACCATTATGATGCAAAACCAACACAGAGGAAGATGTATGATAATTTTGTTGTCTTCATTGCAAAGTACATGGCGTTTAGACATGGATAAAGTCTTGAAGGTGCAATTTTGATTGTTCTTTTTATATCCACATGTTAGTAAAGATTATAAAAATAATTATGTTAAAAATATTATTTCTTGAGTGGTTGCAAAATAATGGAAAAAAAGCACATGAATTTTGAATGCTAGTGTGGTGTTTATTCATGTACACCATTTACATCACCATCACCAAAAACTCTTTCCCCCTTCTCATGGTGGTATGTGAGTAATCCTCCCTCGGGGCTAAAGGTATGTACTAGCAGTTATGTTCTCTCTCTCTCTCTCTCTCTCTCTCTCTCTCTCTCTCTCTCTCTCTCTCTCTCCCTCCCTCTCCCTCTCACACACACTATTGACAAAACCAAAAACTCTCACACACTATTGTATCATTGGTTTTGTCAATAGTGTTGAATCTTATGATGCATCCCTTTCTATTCTCCTTATGGTGAATTGAATCTTGCTC